ATAATAGTAACCATCGCGGCGCGCGATACGTCCCTCGAAATATAGTATCCGTCGCGGCGCGCGACACGTCCCTTGCAATATAGTATCCATCGCGGCGCGCGATACGTCCCTCGAAATATAGTATCCGTTGCGGCGCGCGACACGTCCCTCGAAATATAGTATCCATCGCGGCGCGCGATACGTCCCTCGAAATATAGTATCCGTTGCGGCGCGCGACACGTCCCTCGAAATATAGTATCCATCGCGGCGCGCGATACGTCCCTCGAAATATAGTATCCGTTGCGGCGCGCGACACGTCCCTCGAAATATAGTATCCATCGCGGCGCGCGATACGTCCCTCGAAATGGTACATCCTCTTTATTTTCTTATTCTTTCTCAATGCACATAACACTTGTCACAACCATGTCTCAGAACAATGCAAATGACTGTTCACACAAATAATCAGGAGATGACCATTTTCATAACATTGCACAATTCACAACAAGACAATCAGGATACAACATCAACAATGATTCAACAAGCCTTTCAAACAATTCTCAACACATCACACAAACAATTGATCACATTGCCTTTTATTATCCCTTTTTTCATCATTTAGAATTAATCAAATGTGGAAAAAGTCAACCCATCACCAAGCCTCATTACCCTAAACACATATTACAAGGAAATACATGAATTCCATACACTTAACAAGGGTTTAGAAATCCACTTGCCTCAATCAATCAAGAATTCACTCTGGGACTTCAGTCTTTCCCTTTCGTTGAATTTCCAACTCAAAGCAATCTATTCACATTAATATCACAATAAGATTTCAAAACTAACAACACCTATATTACTATGTGTCTAGCCTAGACACAAAAACTCATCCAAAATTTCTCTAAACACTACAACCCTAATAACTTTCAACACCTATATAATGTGATAATTATAAAATTTTCAAAATCAAAACCAAGTTACGAAATCAATACTTAAACAGTAACTAATATGTGCTCGTGGAATACTTTTAAAAAGAATATTATTAGTACATCTATTCAATAATATCACATCCCCTAATCAATGGTCATAATTGCCCTATGATATAGTCCCAGTTCTTGTCGGCAGTAACCCATAAAACAATACTTATACATTAATTTGAAACACCAATATTGGAGAAACTTTAAAACCAACTCGTTACACCCGTAGAGCCTCACTATAGTTTAACACAATTTACTGCTATCTAAAACTTACCAATTATTAGCTTATTATTGGCTATCAATATGTCAAAATATTTCCCACTCCAACTTATCCTTTAAAGACCAAATTCCAATGGAATACATAATTTAAATATTCAATTCTTTTCCTCCCATCAAAACTAACGCCACATACATGATTATTAGTGGAAAAAGTTTGTTCACCAATTGAACTATTTGGTTTTTAACTCTTTCACTTGCAAACATATATATATATATATATATATAAAATCATCATAAAAGCTTAGTTAGATTTCTTACCTGAAGGAAGAGGATTCACTGCTCAAGTCCTCTTTTTACTTTGTGACTTGATGCCGCACCAACTGTACGGTTCTCTCTCACAGTTTAGGTTTAATATATTTTACATGGGTCACTAAATGAATTATGGACTTGACCCATTACCCAATAACTAAATAAATCCATTATTTAATAAATATCCATCAATTAAATAATCATATTTATCGAATAGTTCAAAATTCTTAAAATCAACTTCACCGACTGATCATGAATGACTCGCGGCAACTATCGGGAGGGGTAAAAATGGTAATTTTATATAAACTTCAAATATGACTTTCCGGGTCATTACATGACATATATTTATTTATAAAGAAATATGAATATATGCGATTTGTTGATTAATGTGACTTCTTACGATATTTCAATACCCTGTTTATTAGCTACGATTTGACAAGATTATATATGCGTTAAGGAAGTTTTAATAGTTTTCACAAATTATGAGATTTTTCATATTTATAAGAAAAAAATAAAACAATTTAAGAAATTCAAATTGCATATCTAAATAAATTTTCAATTTTGAATTAATTACCTATTTTCAAATCATTTCCAAACAAGAGTTAATAACTTAGATGGTCACTCAACTATCAATTTTTTTCACAGAAAGTCACTCAACTTTCATTTTCAACTCAAAAGTCTCTCAACTATGACTTCTTTGCACAGAAAGTCATTCAACCTATTTAATTGTTTTTTTCATTAAAATTTACTGACATAAAATTTTAATTATTAACCAAAATTTGAAGAACCAAATATATATCCATTTAATGACCCGCTGCATTTAATCCAACCTGCTATAAATATAAGTATTAAACTATATTTTTAATACGCCAGTTTTATTGACATACGGCTTAACAACCAAGTCATCCATCACCATGTACTTCACTACCTCCATTACAAAAAAAAAACCTGTTGCTGCCTTGGATTCCTTTACTCCAGATGGATATCTAAATATGCCTGTTTATTGACATACGGCTCATACAATTTGGACAGCAACTACTTCAATTTATCAACCTCTCTATTTTTATTTTTATTATTTAAATTTTCATAACCTCTCTTCTCCCTTAGCATCAAATTATTGTCTACTCAACTTCACAATCTTGATATATTATTGATATGTGAAGAAGAAGTTGAAATTGAGAAATTAAAAAAGAAAAGAAAAGAGAACGAAGAATTAGGGAAAGAATGGGGGAGAAAAGGGAAAATAATTTAGGGAATTAATGGTAAAATAAAATTTTTAATATTATATTTATAGCGGATCGGGTTAAATGAGGGGTCATTAAATGGATATATATTTGATTCTTAAAATTTTGGTTAATAATTAAAATTTCATGTCAACAAATTTTAATAAAAAAAATAATTAAATAGGTTAAGTGACTTTCTGTGCAAAGAAGTCATAGTTTAGTGAGAGTTGAAAATGAAAGTTGAGTGACTTTCTGTGAAAAGAATTGATAGTTAAGTGACCATCAAAGTTATTAACTCAATAACCATCGTAATATAGAATTCCCAATTTTTGAATAGTGAATTCAGACAGTTTCGTTTTGTATAATTATATAGTACTCTCTTCGTCCACTTTTATTTGTCATGTTGCGCTTTTTGAAGTCAGTTTGATTAATTTTCAAAGTTAAATTAAATTACACTAATTTGATATTTTAAACAAAAGAATAGATATTCAAAAACTATACAAGAAGTATTATAAATTACAATTTTTTGCATATCAATATGATGAAAAAATATATCATAAATGTTAGTTAAATTTTTTATTGTTTGACTCTATAAATAGATACCATAACAATTAAAAGTTGACGAAGAGAGTATTTAGCTAAGGTATTTCAAGCAAATGGTCATTGAAAAGAATTAGAAATTGATATAAACATTTTCGAAGAGAATTAGCATGGATTCTTTTTGTTTTTTGTTCAACCTATAGAATTAAGGAGCACTATGATAAGATGGGGGAATATTTAAAAAGAGACATATATAAAACACATATTTTTCTAATTGGTACGGGACCCCTATTTTCTCGGAGATAGCCTGGTCTGAGCTAGAACAACAAATTCGTGAGCAAGAGCGTATTTCACAGCTGATTCAACAACAACCATTTTTTCTGGGGAACTTTCATATGAGTCTGTTCTTTCTTTTAATCTACTGTAAAGGTTCTAAATTGGCTCCTTAATATTAAGGATAATTACATTCTTGAAAGGATCAAGGGCTCTACCCTCTCGCATAAAGTCTTACGCTCTTATCGTCCGGGGTCATGTGGAGCCGGCCTCCCCACCGTCCCCCCTGCCCGCACCCTCCATAACGGAAGTACGTAGAAACCTTGATCTGTTTACTTCCTCCTTTAATAAGATCGGGATGAGGAGTGACCTTTTACTGGACCTCGAGGATCGGCTTAAACTTGAAACTGCCTCAGAAGCAAAGAGAGGCAAAATAATAGAATTTATGGAGATCTTGGTTTCAAGTTTGAACTTTGATTATTATCTAACATAAAAGTCCAAAAATCATAATATAAAAAACAAAGAAAGTGGCCCTAATTGTGCAAACATTAATTCTAGTAGTACAATTTTTATTTTTCAATACATTATAGTATATAAATTTGGTTTTTCAATTTCCTAGGACCCATGTTTACATTTTAAATATCGGAATACGCATAACTAGTTAATTAACAATCGGATAAATTAAGGCTACTGGAGTAATAATTGAGTTTATCGTCAATTATTTATAATTATTTAGTAGTTTTTCTATTAAGTACCCGGATTACAACCATGGAGGAGCATTAACCATATGGCTCCAATTTATTTTCTTTAGACTATAGATGTATACATTCGATACAAATAAATATTTTTATCGTTAACCAATACTAGGAGTTCGTACAGTAAAATCCAAGATATTAACGTAAAGACGAACTCGATCACATCGAAAATCTGCAGTCACTATAGAACCATTCGGTACATTTAGAACTTTAGTTAGTTTTGGATTTTCCTTCTGAATTATTTCCCTAGCCAACTTTGCTGGTACCCCAAGAAGTTCAGGCCATGAACTTTTTGTCACTCCTATATATAAATTTATACATATATGAGAAAAAAACATTAGATATACAGGGATCGTTTAGTAGCTGGTTAGAGTTATGTAGATATTAGTAATGTACATGTTAGTTTTAAGTAAATCTATGTACTATTTTACACATGTAGTCGTTTGGTAGTTGGTTTCAAATTAGTTATACATGTATTGATATTCCATCTTCTATCCTGCATAAAATAGTATATAGATTATCTCATAACTTATACATGTATTAGTTATGTGAGTTTCTAAATTGCCAATCAAACGTCGTATTAATTTTATACATGAATAACTTAATTCCTATCTATTTACTACCAAACATCGTATAAATACATGAATAACTTATTTCTTATCCAGCTATCAAACAACGTAATAATAATATATAGAGGAATATATAATAAGATGAAGAGTTTTAAAAACCAAACCTTGGCAACTGGATTGAGCCGTGAGAGGTTGAATAAATACTGTTCATAGAATAATTTACATCAATTTTTGTTCGAATAACTAGAAAAATATGTGAAAAAATACTACTAAAAAGATGGAAATAAGGACTAACGTACATGAAGAAAGAAGCAAAAAAACAACCATGAGAGTTAACTTCTCCATATTACTCTTTTATGTGAAAAAAATTCTTGTTTTTATTATTTACATTAAAAAAGAATTAATTATGGGGATATTTATAATAGGAGATCAATTAGTGACTTGATTTATATTTTTTGACATTTTGCAATTTGCGTCCATTGACGTTCTAATTTGTAGTATTTAACTAAAAAAATCGTATAGAAGTTGGGTGTTTTACCAAATTCCGTGCAGACTTAGGTAGGAAAAATTACACCTCCTATGAGCAAAATAATGATACATACTCCCTCTGTTCTGATTTATTTGTCAAATATTTACTAATTTGTTTTCTATTTTTATTTTGAAAAATATAGTAAATAAATACACTATCGGAACCCTATCAATTAATAGAGATAAAATGATAAACTCACTATACCAATCATTAGGACCTATAAATCATTTTTGGAAGTAATCTCAAAATATTCATATTACTAGAGAATCAAAAGGTAAAAAATAACTACTTATGCTTTAATTAATCCAATAATAAAATGGCTAAATCAAAAACAAAATAAAAGAAAGCGACAATTATTTATCACCAAATATTGCATTACAAACACGGAGCACTAACCATACGGGCTGCGGCTCCAATTTTTATTGGGCACGTATACGTATACATTCGATGCGAATAAATATTTTTTCTCGCTAACCAATCCGGGGAACTTGTACAACAAAATCAATGACATTAACAAAAAGACGAACTCGATTACAACTAAAATCTGCTGTAACTGGAGAACCACTGAGTACACTTGGAACAATAGTTAGTCTTGAATTTTCCTTTTGAATTGTTTCTCTAGCTAACTTTGCTGGTACCCCAACAAGTTCTGGCCATGTAACTTTCAATCCTATATATAATTTATACATAAGGAAAAAATAAAATAAAATAAGAAACATTATATTATAATTTATATATATGCACAAATAATTTGGTAACATAATATTAGATATAGGAATAAATTTTAAGAAACAAACCTGGGCACTGAGCCGTGAAAGGTTGAATCAACACTGTTCATATAGAATAATTCACATTAAATTTTGTCAGAATAAATATGTAAAGAAACTGTTGAGAATATAAGACTGTTCATATAGAATAATTCACATTATTTTTTGTTTGAATAAATATGTAAAGAAACTATTGAGAATATAATTAAATAATAAAAGTATGTTTTCTCGCTTAAATTTTTAGATGAGAAGGTCACACACTTCAACATAGTATCAGAGTAATCGAGTCCCGTGCATATCAAAAAGTTCAAAAGAATTTCCGACGAGCTAATTTTCGAAAGATTTTCGCACTTTTAATAGTAGGAGTATAAAAATAAATTTGTGATATTAGTAAGAGAGAAAAATAAGGACTAATTACTTGATGAAAGAAGCAAGAAAACAATTAACTTCTCCATATTACTCTTTTTGTGTTGTTTTTTTTTTGTGTGTGTTGTGAGTTGGATTCATTTGGTTTAATGGGGTATGTATAGGAGACTAATAATAATTAATATAAGAGAAATTACGCAAAAATTGCAACTTAAACTTATCCACTAGTTACATTGCTAAAATAAAGTTTAGAAGTCATTTGTTGACATTTTAAAATTTGCATCCATTAATGACGTTCTAAAAAAGTCGTATAAAAGTTGGCACACCCTATAAGCAAATTAATGATACCTAACATTATCACTATTTCATCCATTTCATACTACTTGATCTATATTAATTTGATACATTTTTCTTAAAAAATAATTAGAAGTGTGTTTTACTAAATCAACCTTGTTTAGATGGTTGTTACATATGTTTCATAATTTATTATATTGTATTGTAACTATATATTGTTTTAATGAATATAGTATTTAGATAAATTGTATCGTTCGTTACATAATGTCATACATCCATAATTTGAGTGATAAACCTACAAGAAAAGTAGGGTTCGGAGTAGAGCTATTATGAAAGTATAGGATAAAAGATGAAATATGATTATTAAATAAATAAAGATAAAATAGGACAAGATATTTAAGGTAACGATGCGATCACACCAAATCAGTCATTACATAAAATGGGTCTTTTCTTCGTTACCTAACGATGAATTTAAACGATACGATACAATAAAATTTAAGTAACAATCAAAACAAATATTGTATTTAAATTAACAATACAATACAATACAACACAACAGACGAACTCGATCACATCTAAAATCTTGTGTAACAGGAGAACCATTTTGTACATTTTCAACTTTAGTTAGTGTTGAATTTGCCTTCTGAATTGTTTCCTTAGCCAATTTTTGCTGGTACATCAAGAAGTTCTGGCCATGTATCTTCTATCACAGCTATAATAATTTATACATATATGAAAAAAATAAATTAGCAATATTATATATGCGCAAATAATTTAGCAATATATTATTAGAATAAATTAAATAGAGTTTTAAAATTCAAACCTGGGCAAGTGGCCAGAACTGTCAGAGGTTGAAACACTGTTCATACAGAATAGTTAAACATTAATTAATAGAATTTTTTTTTACTAAAAATATGTGAATTTATGTTGGGTCGCGGTTTGAAATATGTAATTTTTGTCGAAAAAATTGCGACAAGTCAACTTTTCGACGTATATTAAGTCAGGAGCATTAACGCAATTCAAGCAAATATTATGGTGGTGGGGAGGTGAGATTGGGGTGAGGGGTTGAGAGGATGAAATGCTATTTATGAATTTTTTGTTTTTACTTTTACTAACGAATTCAGTTTTTAAGAAACTTATTTTTTTTAAAAACGTACTTTATTAAAAAAAAATCAATAATCAAACATAAAAAAATAAGAAAATATTTTTCATCCGTATCGAACACAATCTAAATGTGAGAATTAATAAGAGTGGGAAATAAGGGCAAACATACATGATGAAAGAAAGCAACCACAAGAGTTAACTTCTCCATAACCTTTTATTTAAATTTTCTTGTTTTTAAGAGTTGCATTCATTTGGTTTTATGGGGGATATTTATAGGAGATACTTGTTCCTCTATTAAGGAAACCATGGAGTAGTGAATTTAATTAATTTAATGTAATTATTATTTCTTCTCTTTTAGGGAAATTATGCAGAATAGCAAATATTTAGCTTATATTAGGTATTATAGTTACAATTTAAGAAAATTGTAATTCGCGACTATAGTTTCTCCAATTTTTTCTATTCGTCTGATTTGTATAAATCCAAAATTTGTATAATTTTATTCCTGATTGTATAAATCCAGAATTTGTATATGCTTACCCTAGCTATTTGTATAAGATTTATGAAAAACTCATAATAAATTACCCTGTTTGTATATATTGGCAAGCGAAATACACAAACGGAGTTCTGAAAAATCCTAAATGTATAAATACAGAATTTATATATACTTACCCTATTTATATATTCGCAAACAAAATATACAAACGGATAGAAATATACAAACCGTAGCCACTATAACAAACGGAACTATGCTATTTCTAATTTTTTTCTCCTTTTTTTTATGTTGGCATTTTGCATCCATTGACCTTCTTCCTTGCTGTACTTTATCACTAAAATAGAAGTTGAGTGTTTTACAAAATTCCGTGTAGATTTTGACAAAATAATAATTAATTATAAGCAAATGATCCATATGACTAAAATAGAATAAAAACAAAGTAAAAGAAAGCAACGTAACGTTTATTTATCACCAAATGTTATAAGCAAATGATCCATATGACTAAAATAGAATAAAAACAAAATAAAAGAAAGCCACATTTATTTATCACCAAATATTGAATTACAAGCCCGGAGCACTAACCATAGGGCTTCAATTTTTATTGTTAGGGCTGGTTGTTGTATACAGTCGATACAAATAAATATTTTTTCTCGTTAACCAACCCGAGGAATTTGTACAACAAAATCCAAAACATTAACAAAAAGACGAACTCGATCACATCTAAAATCTTGTGTAACAGGAGAACCATTTAGTACATTTCCAACATTAGTTAGTCTTGGATTTTCCTTTTGAATTGTTTCCCTAGCCAATCTTGCTGGTACACCAAGAAGTTCTGGCCATGTGTCTTTTCTCACTCCTATAATAATTTATACATTTATGAGAAAAATAAATAAGAAATATTATATATGCGAGAATAATTTAGCAATATACTATATGATAAATTAAGAAGAGTTTTAAAAATCAAACCTGGGCAACCGGACTGAGCCGTGAGAGGTTGAATCACTGTTCATATAAAATAATTAAACATTAATTTTCGTCTGAATAAATAAGAAAAAGAAAATACTACTAAAAATATGTGAATTTCTATCGGAAAGTCATTTGAAATATGTAATTTTCGATAGAAAGTTTGTTGAAAACATTTCATATGAGCTAATTTTCGACTGATTACTACGAAAATTCGTATATTTTAATTGTAGTGAAAGTAAAAACATATAATATGAGAATTAGTAAGTAAAAGATATTGTACCAAAATAATTTATATATAATCTAAGTATACAAATAGTATAAGGGTGAAGAAGTGGAATTGACGGATTATGCTATAAAGTCCTTCTGAACAAACAATGGGGACCGGGGGGGAGGGGGGGTGTGTGGACACAATAATATGCCACTATTCCAACAAACCGATTCATTTTCTTGATGTTTAAGGAATTTATTTTCTTAAAAATGGTATTTTATTTTTTTAGAAAAAAGAAATTTCACTAATCAAACGAAAAAATCAGAAGAGACAATTATATGCCACTATTCCAACAAACAAGTTCCTTTTCTTGATGTTTAAGGAATTTATTTTTCTAAAAAAATTATTTTAGTACAAATAAAAAAAATCTTCACTAACCAAACATGAAAAAATCAGAAGAGACTTATATGCTACTATTTCAACAAACAAATTCATTTTCTTTGATATTTAAGAAACTTATTTTCCTTTAAAAAACGTATTTCCTTCTATATCGAACACAACCTAAATGTGAGAATTTATAATTAAAAAGAGAGGGAAATAAGGGCAAACATACATGATGCAAGAAGCAAGAAAGCAACCACAAGAGTTAACTTCTCCATAAGTCTTTTCTTCTAAATTTTCTTGTTTTGATGAGTTGCATTTATTTGGTTTTATGGGGGATATTTATAGGAGATATTTATTCCCCTAATAAGCAAACCATATAGTAAATTAATTAATTTAATGTTGAAGAGATAAGGTTGATGAGTTGCCGACTATATGTTAATTATTTTATTTTTTTATGTTGACATTTTGCATCCATTGACGTTCTTGCTTGTTGTACTTCCATCACTAAAATAATCAATCCATTGACGTTCTTGCTTGTTGTACTTCCATCACTAAAATAATCATATAGAAGTTGAGTGTTTTACAAAATTCCTTGTAGATTTTGACATAAAAAATTATATACATAAACTATCGAAAAACGCAACATGACAACTAAAAAAAATAGTGAGTATAAGATTTTTGACATAGACAAAGCATTTCTTATCAAAAAATCACATTTTTTCATACTCGCAAGATAAATTAGAAAAAATGATTTCAGTATATATCCGTTTTAGGATTTAATAATTTAAATTTATATTGAAAAATCTCACTATAAAGATAAAATACTCCCTATAAAAAGCAATCCATTCCCATTTCCCAAAGTTTGAACTATAATTTTTGTAATTTTATCTAAGATTAAACTTATTATTTTCCAGTAATTTTTTTTAAATGATCAGGAAACGAATAAAAGAATAATATAAAAGGTCAAAGGAACATTACGATGATAGGAGCGAATATCTTGGAATAAGGCATAAATCATAATTAAGACACATTCGTGATTGGTTTTAAAATTGTTTGAACTTTAGTGATCAACTTAAAAGTCCAATGACCAAAATATAAAAATAAAGATAGTTGCTCTAATTGTTCAAACATTGTAGTACAAATTTTCCTTTTCAATATACATTATATTATAGTACAAGTTTGGTTAATTGTTGATGATACGCAATCTTCTATTTTTGTTATTTTATTACATAATGATTAATGACCATTTCTTTGTTTAAGCAATAATAAATGAGGAAATTTCGCAAATAGCCACTAAAATAAACTTAATTAGGTTTTATAGCTATAGTTTGCTAATTACGATTTATAGATACATATTAGAGGGAGAAGATAGGCGAGCGAGATTGGCAGAGGGAGGAGAGAGGCGAGCTAGAGAGGGCAGAGAGTGGAGAAAGATGAATTGTGTTTGTATATCTTTCAGATAATTGTATATATGTCATTGACAGTGATTGTATTTCTATATCTGCATAATTGTGTGTGTGTGTCTCTCTCTCTCTCTATATATATAAAAAAAATTTAGTATGTATATGTATCAAATGAATACAATGGTACTGATGAAATACAGTTTGTATCAATAAATAAATTGTATACAATCATATCAATTTGTATATGTACAAGAGAGGAGAGAGGCGAGACAGAGGAAGAGAGGAGAGAGGGCATGTAATTATAGCTAAAATTAAGTTGCGAGTGATAATTAATGAAAACTATAACTATGTTAGCTAAATAACTCGAATTTTAATCCCCAATTCGGAACTTGGCTCGTGACCCCATTTGAAGTCTTACAAAAGTATAGTGATAATGATGATGATTGTGATGGACTGATGGAATGGGCCTACCGGGGCCATTGGAAATTGGAGGCCCACTTACAAGTCCATCACTGGCCCAATCTTTGTTTGTCCATTTTCGGACCTTTTCTTTCATCCACGTATTACCCGTCATTTTTATTTGATAAAACAACAAAATACATAGCTAATTTTGGAAATTAAAGTATCCGCGCTGCTATATTAAGTATCCACACTGCTATATTATGTATCCGAAAAACATTAAAAAAGGGGATTTTTGGTAATTAATGAAAGAATAGGGAAAGGAAGTAATTTATTTCTTATACTATGTCATTTGCCTAATTTTTACAACAATTAAATCACAGTCGAAGTTTATATATTTTTGGAAATCTCTTTAAAAAATAACTTTTGATATATGCCATCGAAGTTATTAATTTTGCGTCTAAATTTAACATATTATTCATACAAGCAATTATTTGGTATAACACATTTAACGTTCGCAAACTTCTTACATATACACAGTGGTGGATCAATGAAGGGCTGTGGGGGTGTCACGCCACCCTCGAACTTCGACGGAAACTCTATATATACATAGGTATATATATATAATATTTATATAAATATAAAGCGTGCCACCTACAGAACAAAACTAGCTTGTGGTGCCACGGTAGGAGGGCAACTTTAGAAGGCTGATGTTGAGGGTTCGAATCCCATTTGTATCTATTTTTTTGAGAAATTTGCTGCATACGTTTTTTAAGAAAAAAAAAGGTTCCAAGCACGTTTTTTAAGGAAAAACAGCTAGCACAATTTTTTATTTTTTTTATAATTGTTATTGACTTAAATTAAATTAATTACATTATTACTTCTTTGACTTTTCTTTTATTTGATTAAATACTCAATAAAAGTGTAATATCTTATTATTTATATTTTAATGATTGATTTATGATATATATCGAAAAAGACGAATAATTCAATCAAATATAAAATTAATTTAATCGATAAGTCTATTTGGCACCCACGAACTCTAAATCCTGGATCCGCCACTGCATATACACCTGAAATATCTCCATAATTCAAAAAAGAATCATCTCCTTAAAATTATAAATCCTGTTAAATAATATATATTCTCCTCTTTTAGGGAACACTTCAAAACAAAGTGGGCCAAACCCTTTCAATAATTAAGGTTAAGATATATATGACCGAAGTTAAATTTTTTGTGCCTCATCATTTTATGCTTGACTTCAATTTTTTTGGCTTGAATTTAGCGGTATACGGATGAATTTCATACGTAAATAGATAAATTCATGCAAAAATAATTAATGTTTAACCTTAAAAAGTAAATGAACTTTATTCATATATAACTTGAAATACAATGTACACTACTAGAAAACATGCCTGTAGCAACAATTATTTAGCAACAACTAAATATGCGTTGCAATAGACAGTAATTCACAACGGTTATAACCTTTGCAATAAACAAATGGACCTAATGAAACACTTTAAGAAGTAAATCGTTGCATTATTGCGACAACCGTTGCCATAGTATCTTTTATTGCAACGATTCCTACAAACTGTCGCCTTAGGTACTCTATGGCAACGGTTCCGCCAAACTCTTTCCCTCAATTATTTCCCTCCACTAATTTTACTACACCCGCCAAAAGAGTTTTTTTTTTTTAATATTAATTGTAAAAATAAAATAAAAGGTAAAGTATCACTAGGTTAATTTGTTTCTTCAGACTTTTCATCCTCGTAGGTATCGACTTTCTCCTTTCTCTCTGAAGAACAAAAGTAGCATTTTCCTTTAATCCCTCTTCTTTGATTTTCCTTGTAGGAATCTGTAGCTTTTGGGTCTTCTTCTTAGTGGGTTTTACGTTTCTGCAGCTACAGGTATGTCGTATTCCATCTTCTTCAAAGTTAGAAATTTATTAGAAGGGTTCTTGAAAAAGATTTGAAAATAGACAAATGGGTTTCTGTGAAGTAGATGTTCTTTGCTAGAGTTTATGTTTATAATGTATTGTTATTGTGCATTAGAGTGTGTATCTCAATTTTGGTGAAGATTGAGAAATCTCTGCAAAAATGTTTAGATGGAAATTCTCAGTTTAGGAAGAGTTAATGTTATGAAAGATGAGTTTCGATTCTTCATTCTACATGATAATTCTTATCTATCGAAAAACCTCAAGTTTTTGAACAGGGCAAACGATTTCTAAGAATAAAATGAACTGAAATATTTTTCAACTTGGACAAACGATTTCTAAGAATAAAATGAACTGATATATTTTTCAACTCCAAAAGTCATTGAAATCGAACATTAAGGGATTTTGTTTCTCTTTTTCGAGTACAATTTTCAAGCTCTAAGTTTATACTTTCTTCCTTCTTGGCTAAAATTTTTAGTGGACAAACTACAAGTTGGTCATCAAGCTCAGCTCACTGCTTAAAAAGAGGTAATGTTCCTGTTTCTCTTATTTTACTTTGATGTATATCTGTGTGTATGTTAGATATTTTACGTTTACTTTTCTCTGTTCGTTATTGCTTATTCATTTTTTAGTTAAATCATTCCATATGACTGTGTTTTTCAGATTTAAGGTCTGTATTGTAAGTTTAGAATGTTGGAAAGACTTTCACTTTATGCTTTATTGTAAAAAATATTTCATGATCAATTTTCTCTGTTATGAGTTAAGAGCTTTAGAAACCAGATCATTCATGTTACTTTCTGCCTTAGTGAACTCCATCTCGTCCATTCATTCCCTAGTGTACCAATGCAAGAAAGCTTTTCTTCTGAACATAGCTGTGTAGTGGTGGTGTGTATTCTTCTTGAAATGAAAACAAAAGTTCGAGGTCGTAGCTTTTTTAATGATTGTCATTAGGGTTACCAGGTGCTTTTAACTAGCATTACTGGTTTAGGAATACATTGAGCAGACCTAGCGTCTAGTTGATCATAGAATAAGGTTTTGATTATGAAACCAACCTCTTTATTCTTTGAGCACCGAATAAAACTTTAGGTATTGAGTAGTTCTTTGTTTTCTCCTTTAATATTCTTTTTGTGATAAATATTGTATTTTCTGTTTTAAGATCATTTTTGCTTTTGGAATACATTGAGTAGATCCTTGGTGTAGTTGAGCACAAAATAAGGCTTTGAGTGTTAACTCAACCTCTCTAAGGCTGCTCCTAGATTTAGATATGCATGTCTACATTTAACCATACATCCAAGTTCTCTAAGGCTGCTCCTTGTCTTTTCTTATAAATTTGAAGTTTTACGATTGAGTTGCTTAGTTTCTTGAGTGAGGTTAGTGGCTTTGGTTTTGTTGTCCTTTTATGCTTTTCTTTTACCTTTAAATTTATTTAGAAGTCTTTAATTAGAGACACAACACCCTCAACTTGTTAACTCAAATTTGCCTAGTTAGCTTAGTTATGCTTATCTTTAATTTAAAAGGTTATAACTAGTAAAGTTTTCATGTAGTGAGCCATTCACTGCTTAAAAAGAGGTAATATTCCCTTGTCTCTTTGTACATGTATAGTAAGTTTAGAGTGTTGGATAAGATTTCCCTTTTATGTGACTTTCCTATTACTCTTTTTTTCTGATTTCTGTTCAATTTTGTGACCATTGCTGATTCTAGAACTGATTGAGTAGATATTGGATCTGGTTGAGCTACACATAAGGTTTTGAACATTAACTCAGCCTCTCAAGGGGGAGTCTTGCAATCGTGTGCTGCTTAGTTCTTGAGTGAGGTTGTTGTCTTTGACAAAATAATAATGAAATTTTGAAGCCTCGTCAAATGCAACAAATGACCTCGTGAAAAAGATGGAAGACAGAATGCTGAGAATGGAGGAAAAAATTGAGGAACAGAAGGAACAATTGACCAACAAAAGACCACGATGAGACAAGAAATTGTAGAAGATGTCATAACAAAACTTCAACGTTCAGGCCTACCAATTGATGTTAATGTTTTGGCAACATTACTTGATGTTTCGTCAACACGAGAAACAAATATTCGGCCAATCCATCGTTCAACTACCAGTAGCAACAATCAAGGTCAGAATCATCCTCCTTCTTCTTCATTTTCTTCTACTACTGCTTTTGCAGTTTTCTGTTTGGTTCATCTTCATTTATGGCCTATTATGTTAATCTGCTTCTACTTCTTTTTCTTGTGCTACTACACTTGCAATCTTCTTGTATTATTGTTGGTGTAACTGCGATCATCTTTTTATTTTTATCGAAGTTGATATTATCGAGATTAGTGTTACTGTTGTTTGCATAGTTTAGGAGTATTGAACTAAACTTAAAACTTCAATTGATTAAGAAGGTTTTAAAAGGTGTGCTCCAGATCTGGGTTGATTTTAGGTGTTGTTGGTTTCTAGTAAAAATATACTGACCCTATTTGTTGGTTTTTCCCTTTTGGTTCATCGTTTGTTTCTGATGTATAGTGACTGACTTTGTTCTTATTGTATTGCCTCTTCATGTAGCCCCTATTTGTTGCTGTCTCTTGTGTTTAATTGTTCTATTTTGATCAACAAATATCATGTTTATGACTGTGTAATCTTTCTAGTTCTGATTCTGAGGATTGTAATTTCTGATTTATTGGAATTTAATGTCTTCCGTCCTTTGGTGGGTAGAGCTTGAAAACTGTGGTAATGGATTGAGTTGTCTTGTTCAAGTGCAATGCTTGTAATGTAGTCAGCTAACTGATTTGTTCTCACTTGGTTGTTCCCTCTCAGCTTCTTCACATGGTGCTAATTCTTCTAAGTATTTACTGGCTGCTAAACTGTCCTCATCCGTGTACACTGTTATAGCTATATTTTTCAAGTTGTTTCCTGATAGGTTTGGCTCCTCCTCATGAACAGTTAGAGCTTCTCTATGTTAGTATTATCACTTAGAGTCTTGGTTTCCTGTGAGTTATTTTCATCATGGCCTCTTTTATCTTTAATCTACTCGTTGTTCTTGAACAGTACGTTTGTCCTCTTTTGGTAAGTCCACATTATTGTAATTCTCTGCTCCCTTCCAAACTACAATATCAGTAACTTTGCATTTTTCTTTTTTTAAAAAAGTGATGTGGTAGTATAGGTTATGTCCAGAAAGAGTAAAAATTAGGAGTTGTGCGTCTTCTTTTCCCTTTTCATTTTTTAACTTCCTCTTTCCTAATTGTTGACCCCTTTGAAATTGTAGGTGAACAAAATGAGCAAAGCGGGGATAAAAGCAGTGAAGACGTTACTTAAAGAGAATTCGTTTATCTATATATCTACAAACATTCTAGCACTATTTTTACGTTTTGGCCTAATTTTTGTGAACTTAAATGAATGCCAACTCTTGAACATTATAGGACTATTTTTATGTTTGGGCTTAATTTTGTGAACCTCATGTATGTTAACTCTTGAATTGTTAATCAAGATCATGTGTTTTTATCTTTGATATATGGATGCTACTAGTTGAAGTACATATTGATTTAATATTTTCTATCATTGTATTATAGTTTATTTCAAAAATAAAGAATATACACAGTGCCTACAATAGCCTGCAATAACCATTAAAAAAGCCTATTGCAATACCTTAATAACACTGTTGCAATAGTTTAGCAGAACCGTTATAATAGCTTAGATCGAGCTGTACAGTAAAGTTGTTGCGATATATCGTTTGCAACGGTTCGCAGCCGTTGCAGCAACCATAGAATAGTGTCGACCTAGACTAAAGAATAACTGTTGCTATACATAGTGTATTGCAACGGTTTACAACTGTTGCCATAAAACCGTTACTATAGACATATCGCAACAGGCTTATATGCAACACACCATCTTCCGTTGCCATAATGCAATTGCAACAGTCTTTGAGTCTATGGCAATGAATTTTATTCTGTTGCAACAGACCTATTTTCTAGTAGTGGTATGTAGTTCAATATTTTTAAACCTAACTTCGACATGTCTGAAATGAATATATGTACAAAAAGAAATTTAAAAACAGTATCAAAATAAATTTTCTGTGAATTTTTTTCAGATTGAAGTACTAATAAACTAATTATCATTTATTAGCCTCCCTAGACTCATGCATTACACTGTGAATTTCACATTTGTTCATTTAGTCTTTTCAGATTGAAATAATAATAAACTAATCATCAAATTATTCTCTTAATTATTCTTTACACTATGAATTTCATATCTCAAATTTTAAGATTTTCCAACCCCTGCCATCCCTACCCCCC